AATAATTTTAAATTCACCAACTCTGAAGCTCTGAACCCAAATATTAATGAACAGCACTAATCATCTTTACAAAATGTATGAATAGTTATTGCATCATTAAGAACTGAGTTTGATCTACTAACCCTGGCTTCCAGTTTCTGGACCTGCTTCTTGCCTCCCTTCATGGCGATCTGCTCAGCTTCATCCAGATGGTGCTGCAGGTCCTTGATGGTCTGCTCCATGTTCTTCTTCATGCGCTCCAGATGAGCACTGGTGTCCACTGGTGCCCCATCATGGCAGCATCAGTGATGGCCTTCTTGGCTTTTTCCTCAGCATTCCTGCACTCCTGCACTGCCTCCTTTTACATGCACACCAGAGGCGGTTTAGCCAATCACAACACACTGGACTAGGTAACCAATCAGAGCCCATTGCGTATTTCTGAGGGAGGGGCTTCATAAAAGCAGGAAATGATAATCGTGTTTCTCAGAGAAGGGGCAGAGCGGTGCAGAATAAAGGTAAATTATGTTTGTTTTTGTTTTTTTAAACGAAGCATGAACACTTGTTAGACTGCACCCCATAAACACAATCAAGCCTAGAAAAAAACCAGTGAACCACCCCTTAAAGGCCGAGATCAGGGATCTAGTGTATAACTGGAAAAACTAGACCTGGTACATCTACACATAACAATTTATCTCCGCTTCCTCCAGAGCTGCTTGAATTTCACCTTTCTCCTGCTCCAGCTGCTTTCGAATTTTCTCTAGTTCATGAATGTTCTTTCCACTCTCACCAATTTGTTCATTGAGATCAGCAATCTCCTCTGTTTAATAGGCAAGGTAATAATGGTTAATACACAAAAAGTCTTGATAAATATTCCATTTATGTGACGTGAAAGCTTAGCTGAATAATAAATCAGTTTCACCTTGGAGGTTCTTGTTTTCTCTCTTCATGGTCTCCAGATGATCCAGCGACTCCTCATAAGAGTTCTTCAGTTTGAACAGTTCAGTGCTCAGAGATCTGGCCTCCTTCTGGGAGCTTTCCAGCTCACTCTGAGACTCCTCATATTTCTGCTTCCATTCAGCCAGGACCTGTTTGATAGATTCAGAGACTTTGATTAGCTATCATTGGAGCTTGATGAATACTGAAAGATTATAGAGTAAGTGTGTTTTATTCACCTTGTCAAAGTTTTTTTGCTTCTTGTCCAGAGCAGCGGCAGCAGCATTGGATCTCTCTACATCCACCATGAGATCTTCAATCTCATTCTGCAGCCTGTGTTTGGTCTTCTCCAGTGAGGAGCATTTAGCATTGACAGCTTCCACAGCTTCTTCTGCATCTCGCAGACGCTGAGCCAGCTTCTTCCTTCATGAATAAACAGAACCAGTCAAATGTTTGTATGGTATGCTACATGGAAATACCAAATATTTCCTGTTTCATACTTGGCATCCTCCAGCTCCTCGGTCCTCTGGATGGCATCAGTTTCATACTTGGTTCTCCATTGAGCCACCTCAGAGTTTGCCTTGGACAGACTCCGCTGCAGCTCAGCTTTGGCTTCTTGCTCCTCCTCATACTGCTCCCTCAGCAGATCAGAGTCGTGACGAGCAGACTGAACTGCATGGGCCAGGGCATTCTTAGCCTACAAGATATTCAAAATTAATGTTTTTTTGTTATGGAGAATGGCCCAAAGCTGTAGCATAAGGCTCTAGTCTCTTTGAGGAGTGTGGGTTTGAATCGCACTGCTCCTAGAAGAGCTTATTGAGTGACAAAGCATTTCAGTGATTAAGGTGAATGAATGCTGCACTGTGTTACTCTAAACGTGTGGGTTCAAGTGACAACCTTGGTTGTTTCTGGACTTTGGATTCATCAGAGGCTTAATTTCTAGTGGTGTAGACCAATGGTTAAACATCGGACTTAATAAGCTAAAAAAGTTTGAACACCTTAATGAGAGAACTGAATCACGGTTTTAAGCAAAGCACTAGACCCAAGTCTATCCTTGTACCATGGCATTCTGTTCTATTCTATAACATTGAATTTGAAGTTGTAGTTGCAATACCTTGACTTCCTCCTCTAGCTGTCTCTTGAGGTCTTCAATCTGCTGAGTGTAGGACTGCTTGCCTCTTGTTAGCTGAGACACCAGGGAGTCTTTCTCCTCTAGCTGTCTAGAAAGCTCCCCTGGGTAGTAGTATAACCATTACATTACAGAAAGCATTTATTACAAACGCTCCCCTAATACAACCAATACGATCCGAGATAATGGTTCAAAATCCATCACCATGAATTACAGTTATTAGAATATCATTATGATTCAAAATAATAATAATAAAAAAAAAATGATTAAAGAAAGACTTCAGCTTGCTTGGTGACTTTTAAATAGCCACATATTTATTACCTGTTCACAAGTTGTAGACTTGAGGGAAAGTTGAATGGCTGAAGCTGAGGATCCCTCTCAACAGTGTGACCTTCCTCTTTTATAAAGCCACTATCCATCTAAATAAGGGAGTTGGCACACTGTTATGCCAAACTGCTACTGTGTTTGGTTCAGCTGAGGTAGAGAAGGATAAGCCTAGTTTTTCATACAGACCAGTCATTCCACCACTGCCAACAACATCCCATAATGGAAAATAATTACAGGGAGACAATCACAATCACCAATAAATCACCTAAATGTACATATCATTTTGAAGTATATACCTTTGTTTTTGACCTTAAAATAGCTTTGTAACTGCCTAATAGAAGTCTAATAGAATAATCAGACAGGTAAGTAATCCTAATAAAGTAACAGTTGAGATTCAACCCATGGTGTTTGCGTTTTCATTTTCTCCTAATGCATCAACAAAGCACTATTTCCCACATCGAAAAGACATGACAATGAGCGACAGATGAAATGATTCCTTGCCTCATTGGCACAGGATCATCTCCTCATTTGTCCTTGGGTACAAAGATAACCCTGTGAAATTCCTGGAAAGTGACGCCCATTGATTGAGAATCACAGGTTGGGCCGCAGACAGTAGCACTTCCATTTATGCAACGCTGTGGAACGTTTCACTGAAAGACAAATATAAAGAAAGGAAGAGAGATGGACCACTTTGGTGTATTGCAGTGATGAAACTAAAGCGGTGATGGCCTTGCTGTGATATCCTGTGCATGCATCCACCATCACAAGACAAGCGAGACATGAGGTTCAACCAGTGTGACGACAAAGAGGGACTATAATAAGATGTCCCGCCAAGTGAAGACAACTAGGCAGCAAAAGTCAGATGTTAACAAGGTGCAAGTCTTCAGGAAATGAGATCGTTTTCATTGCGCATACATTCAGCACATCTACAACCAAACCCTCAGAGACTTGAAATCTCCCGGCAAGAGTCTCATAAGGACGATTAGTGGATTGATCTACAGGATTTACAGTACGAGAGAGGACGCAAGCAGCCAGCTCTCTGAGAATCATAATGGTAATTCAATAGAGCTACTATGCTAAATTAGTCACTGCTGTCTCTAGGAGACTACATTTGATATTGTCTAATGTTATACTGAAATACATTCGTATTTAGGGTTCCCATGCAATTCAACCAACGATTTAGGACTTTTTCCAAGATAACATTTTAGAGAAATATCACTCACAGAGGGCAATTTCTGCTCATAACAAGAAAATCACTAGCAATTCATATCACATTGCCAAGACGAGGATTTGAATATATTTCCAGGTTTGAAATGACCATGGGAACCCTGCATATAGCTCTAAGGAATTTTTGTTGTTGTATATGGGGAAAAAACAAGTTGATATGCTTTTGATTATTATTCGTGTAAACATTTGGGGGCGCTGTAGTGAATGAAGCTCTGCAGGACAAACATAGACTGACCTTTTTGACCCTTACACAATCAGGAGCTGTTGTCCAGAGAGTTTTTATGGTGAATCATTGGCCTCATCTCATGAGCTCACCAACAAAAACTGAAGAGCCAAAAATAAACAAACCAGCAAATACTGATAGACCAGAGGTACAACAGAACATTCAACACCAATGTCCAAATGCATTCAGCTTTAGACTTCCAAAGAACATATTCACTTCTAATCACTGTGATTTTACCAGATTTTATTTGTAATTAGACTTGGTTAAAGATTTATTAATAATTACAGCATTGTTTAGTAAGTGTTGCGCAATCATCAGATTTATTACTATTATCCTTTATTATTCAAGTAGTAGTAGTATTAATAATAATTAAAATTATTACTAACAATTTATAACTATTAAGTGCATTTTAATTTCATTTACAAGAGAAAGCTACATAACTCGTGTTTCCAATGTTCCTTATTTCAATAATCAGACTGAAAATGCAATAGGCAAAGACAAAATAGAGAGAAAGACAGACACAAAATAAATCCTGACAGTGTTAACATTCAGATGAACCTGTGCGTTCCTTCCCGCTGCTGTCATACTCTTCAGCAGGTACATAACAAATAAGGGACGCTATGAGCAGTGCGATTTCAATCAGCCTCATTAAAGGAATATTACAGGTTTATTGCAACTTAAACTGTCAAATTACTCCACAAAATTGTCCCTCAGATCAGTGTGCACAGTAAAGCACTTACAATGGATGATGCACTAGAGCAGTGGTTCCCAACCCTGGTCCTGGAGGCACCCCAACACTGCACATTTTGCATGTCTCCTTAATCAAACACACCTGATTCAGGTCATCATCTCATTAGTAGAGACTCCAAGACCTGAAACTGGAGTGTCAGAGAAAGGAGACATGCAAAATGTGCAATGTTGGGGTGCCTCAAGGACCAGGGTTGGGAACCACTGCACTAGAGGTTTTAAAAGCAGAGATATGAAGGATGCATTTTTTTACAGCACAAATTCCGTTATTTTGTTATGTTTTGACTAATCCATCTGCAACAAAAGTTATCACCTGATTGTGCAACAGTCAACAATAAAATCTGGAGTAGAGGTGTCGCGATATACCGGTATTGACGATAACTGTGATATTCAAATGATGAAATATCGACATCGTGTTAATTTAGGGTGTGACCATATACCGGTATTGGCGATAACCACAATATTTAAAATGAACCGGACACTTATGATAACACGACACGCAAATAGCCTACTCCAGCGTCAGTACCTGGTTGACCTCCCAGGTGGCAGTATTGCGCCTTAACGCTGACACCTGTCAAAACAAGACGACGACGCAGCGCACGACCGCGCTACTCCGAGAAGAACAATGTTCAATATTATACAGACAGTGAGTTGCCATTATTTTACTAGTCATGGAATGGGAAATGTTACATTAACCTGTTAACAGCGGTTTCCTGTCGTCATATATTTAAATAAAGGGGTGATTCTTTTAATAAGTACCACGTTTTCTTTACTCGTCTAAATTTTGCATTTGTATTTGCAATCAAGTCATGGCCAATACATGTGCGTAGCACTTGATTTCTTTGTTCAAATCTATTACACGATTAAAACATCTAGAAAAACTGAGAGACTACACTGCTACATTAAACCCTGTAAAATCTTACGTTGGTCGCAGTGCCATGCATTTAATGCCTCATCTGCAGCCGTTCTAGACGCACATTAAAACTGAATTAACTGAATTTGGCTGATTCCCCAAGGTTTCTATAGATATCACGATATATCGATATTGTGAATTATTTTGGCCACAATAACCGTGGTGTGTAAAATCTAGTATCGTGACAGCCCTAATCTGGAGTAACTGACAACACGTCCCAGCTTCTGCACATACAACTTAAGGTGCATTCCTATAATACTCCTTTAACAAAGACTGACGTAACATACAATAATAAGTGTTTCTAGTATCATGCCTCAGTCCAATCAGAGTGCACATAAATAATCCTCAGCGCTTCTCGCCCGATGCATCGATCAGTCCTGCAGCGATCCTCTAGGCGCGCCATTCTTAGCAGCAATGAGTTAAAGTACTAAGAGAACCAATTCCATCCTCCTTCCATCTGGAGTGAGAACTTAAGCCTGTTTTGAAAGGGATAAATATGTTTCAAAACGACCTCTCTCATTTTGAGCCCTTATCTCATATTGGCCTAATATATTACTAATAAGTCACCGAATGCTACATGGGTCAGACAATGTTTAATTAAAAGTGTATGCCCTTGTTTATGCCACTGTGCGCTGACAAGCGTTTGCGTACTCAGTGGACGCGCTTCGGTACCCTTCACCCCTCACACTTCATGACGGAGTCCATGTGCCACGACTCCACCGACACGTGTTAGGAATGACTACAAATACAGGATTATTAGGATGGGACTCCGAGGTCAGTCCCTCAGTATTTGTGGTTGAAGAGTGAAGGCTAGGTCTCTGGGTTTGGCGTAGCCAGAAGAGGAACGTTATCCCTACGTCTTCGGCCCAGTGGAGGACGGCGGTACTGTTCTCCATCCGCCAGCGTCTGTGGAAGAGGTTTGCGTTTGCTCTCCGGGAGAAGCAGGATGGAGAGGACCGCCAGCAGGGCCAGAGACGAGTAGACCACATGGTGCAGAAAGTAGCCGTAGTGATTACGCAGATCCATGAGAGGAGAACTGAGGCGGCCCACGCAACCCAAAGCCATGACCGCTCCCACACCACTTCCTCTGTGGACACAAGAATGGAACATTAAAACCACCACTTTCATGGTGTGCTGCTTCTACGAAATCTTCTGTCTAAATGGAAATATTACCCAACTGTTGGTTGAAGAAAAGTGGAAGCATGATGGAGCTTTTGAAGTTGCCTTCACGTGATATTCGAATTATTGTAAATATGTGACCCTGGACCACAAAACCAGTCTTAAGTGTCAATTTTTTAAGGAAGAGATTAGGATAGGACAATATTTGGCCGAGATATATTTGGTCGTTTGTTAGGGCCATGCTCTACCGGCTACATTATGTGAAAACTCTTAATAAGTGAACACCAAGAACAACTGGTGCAAACTCTTCCCTCTGTTTCCTCCCAGGAGAAACTCTTGGCGGGAAGCCAGAACAACACAGAAGAGATGCATAAATTACATCCCAAACCGGCTCTCTGGAGTCCAGTAGGGATCGTGCTGTTTTCTTGACTCTCTCGTTGTCCACACATTACATGCATTCTGCTGCTTCAAGAGCTAAAATAAGCATGAGGTTATGACGGTGCGCTAGTAACCAGCCCCGCGGGAGCGTGTGTTTACCTGATGATGGTGGGCATGACTTCAGCGGTGAACAGAATGGAGAGGGAGGCGGACGCTTGGGACGAGAACAGGCCCATTATAGAGAACACAGTCATGGCTGACTCACTCAGATCTGCAGGGACACATTCATCTCAACGTTAGACTTTATCAAACAAAATGCCTGAAAGAATTAACTGGACAATGTTTGAAACTTGTATTGCTAGCACTTCTCGTGTTATTGCATCCTTATGCTATGCTATATGATTGATAACTTGTATTCCTCGTTTTAAGCGTTTGCTAAAAGAATGCACAAATCTTGCAAAACCTGCCAAGCATATGTCCAGATCATATTCAACTTTCAAAAACAAAAATTATGTTT